CACAAAAGTCCAGTCATTCCCTTTGTCTGAGGTGGAAAACTGTGCTGTGGAGGTAAGGGAAGGACATCCATCTCAAGCTTGTTTGATTGGCAAGTTTGTTCTAGAAAGAACAGTTTCAGTGATGCAGCTAGACTCAGGGAAGTTTGTCATTCTCTCTTGCTTCACAGGGGCCACTAGAACACACTTAAGATCCAGGAAATAGAACAAAAGAGTCCCCCTGCTTGTATTTCTGGCTCCTTTAGAGCTTGTACCATGTTAAAGTAGCATTAATCATCTTAGGCTAATGATAATGTTGCTGGCAACTTACTATCAATGGAGGAGATGTTTGGGCAGGAACTTGAAGAGGGACTGTCACTGAGGGTTTGCAGAGCAAGTGTAGAAAGAAATGGGTAAATAAATGCACACAGATGTAAGATCAGTAATTACACACTCATCTCTCTGAGTCCAAGACCACCCTTAGCTACCAGAGAGTGAATCAGAGCTCACGCCTTTAATCCCAGGATTTGAGAGGTATAAAAGGTAGAGGCACTCATTCTCTAGAGATTGAGGATAGGGCAGCATTCTGAGAATTAGTCTCCATCCATGTTGAGGAAAGCATAGCAGTCTGAGGATCACCCCTTTGGTTTGAGCTGAGGTAGAGGTAAGAGCTAGTTGCTGTCTACTTTGCTTTTCTGATCTTCAGCTTGAAGCTTGTACCCCAATATCAAACTCTGAGTCTTTATTTTTTGTGTTACAAGCTCCTACTCTGGGAAGATCTAGTATTTACCTGCTCATTCTTGCATGTTCTAACATATGACATTTGTTTCCCAGTTGGGTTCATCTGGGAATAAACCAAAGTAAAAACTTTTGAACATCATCCCAGTCATCATCTTGTTGATCCTCAAACCTGGACCATCACTTTGTGGTTGAGCCTGGTTTACTGACTAAAACCTGACACTGAATTTCAAAGATGAGGAATCTCTTGAGAAAGAGGAAATACCAAAAAGCCAGATGTATAAACAGGGGCCTGATTTTAATTGATTTATTCTTGTTGGAGGCAATAATACATGAGCATTGTACTGAAAGTCCTGTGAATGGGACTGATGCTTTAATCATCACTCCTAACTTGGCCTCTTCACTTCAATATTCCCATCTAAATTACCAGGAGAAGAAATATGATTGGTCCACCATAGTTATGTGTCTAAGGTCCCACTTACTCCTCTTAATGAAGGAAAAGTGTTTTCTTCGGGGATAGAGAAGGGAAGCTGTGTGTCTATATGTCCTTTAGTTGGAACTTTTGGAAGAAGAGTTTGATCTCCTTGTGTTGGAGGCTCATGGTCTCTGGAGTGTGATGTCCTGGGATAGCACAGAGAGACAATGATCAACTGAAACCTGTCTGCTGCTGCACCTGACTCTCAAGCTCACAATGTTTATACAACTTCTATGGGGCACCACACAATTCAAATACTGCAGCCCTGGATTTTGGACAAGAATCTGTATTTAGACACGCAGATGGAAGCTAGCCTCCTGGATATGGGCATAAGAAGCTGGTTCAATTCTAGACCTGTTGCTGAGTGGTATCTATCTATGCAGCCAGAAGACAGAGAATGCTGGGGTCTCAGCATAAGTGATGGTTGGGTTGGTCTCTCAGCACTCTAGCTTTGGGGGCTGTGTTCTTCTGGCATGATGTTTTCCTTTACCCTAGTCAACTCATTCTGAAGCAGCTCTCCAGCCCCCAACCCACCTCTCTAGGCAGAGTAACTGTATTCCAAATCATGGGTCTCTATCAAATAAGCCTTCTTATTGTCTGTGATGTCAAGGACTCCCTCTTGTGCAACCCATTCACAGCCTGTTTCTAGAAAAGATTGTGAGATACTCATTTACACAAAGAATAAGGAGTAACTAATGTCTGTAAAAACATGTTCTAAGAGTTGGAATAATCACGTCCCCTTCATCTCTGTGCAACTCACCATCTTCCTCTCTACTCCAGGAGAGTGAGTTCTCTGATCTGTATCAATGGGCTCCTTTGCCACTGGTTTCTACTTGACTTTCACTGATGGCAGGCACTGGCAGTACTAAGAGGAGGACATGCCCCCCATCCCTACTGCATGACCCTTTCTTCAATGATAGCTGCAGCTCTCTTTACAATTCCTCTCCTTTTCTGCAGATGTAAAACTGATAAAAAAAAGACAAGGCCCCCTGCCTTGTCCTGCCTCATTATGCTTCTGCATGTCTTGCTGGTGTCCCTTAACCCTGAGCACATCTTGGTAAATAGTTCCTAAATGAGCTCTTTCAATTGCATTTGAATGCAATATCCATTTGGTAAGCACCCTCCCTTGACAGCTTAGTGTTACTGATCCTACTTTATAGATGAGAAGGTACGGCCCAACAGCTCGATGAAATTCAGTGTTAACCCAGATACCCATTTACAGAACTCAGACTTTATGAACCTAGGCTATTCACTGTCTTGGTGTTGAACATCAGCCTCAGCTTTGTCCCCAGCTTCTCAGGCATTAAGTCATATGTAAGGATGTGGTATTGAAAGAGCAGCCTCTTCTGATCCCACAAAGTAAAGTTCCAACTTTGTCCTCCCAAACACAATCTGGGTCTTCATTATTGCTTCTTGAAGAACATTTTCTTCTATTGTTAAAAAGAATTGCCCCGAATCCCTTCTTCATTCAGGAATAGCTCCTGAGATTTCAATATCTGAGATCCTATTAGGCAGAGCTCTTAAATGTAATTATAGGAAAACAACTTTAATAAAATCTAACTCAAGGCAAGTCCTGAAATACCAGATAGTAGAGGAATCTAATTAGCTATTTCACTCTCTCCCCCATACCACAAAGCACGCTGGAGTGTGAATAGCCTCATAGATTATCCAGGCTCTTAACCTCATTTTGGGTAACACAGACCCTCTTAAAATGTAAGTCTTTGGATCTTTTCCAAAGACAATTTCAGAATTGTCTCCTTCTTTCTTTTTTAGGCACACACACAGACACACAGGCACACAGACACAGACACACAGACACACACACACACACACACACACACACACACACACACACACACAATCTATAACTATTAACTATTTGTTTTCTATCACTGTCTTTCTAGGCCCCTAAGTTAATGTTCCTCATTTCCATTCTAAGCTAGTGTCTTAGGTTTGCTTGCAAAACAAATGACTTACCTAGAGTCACACAACTTATTTATTGGCAGATTGATCTGATTTGGCTAAATTTTTTTCTGTCGTAATGAGGTTTCTCTTTCCATGCATGTGGTCTCCACTGTGGGTTAGTTTAGGGCTCTACTCTATGCCATTTTATCCAGTAATGTAGGGTCTGACACCACCTATAACCATGAAAGGAGAGCTGGAAAACCCAGTGCTGGTTTTTTAAAGGTGACTCCTCAATGATGGTCATACTCCATTGGCTAGAGCAAATCATATGGCCATGCCTAACTCCCAAGCTGGAGGAGAAGCCATGGCAGAGTATAAGACATGATATCAGGGGTTGGAGGAAGAGGGATTTAAGCTTTTATCCCATGTGTTTCACTATTCCCTGGATACCATACCAAACTAATTCATCTGGATATAGCTCCCAAAATTTTTTGATTACGATGCCTAAATTTCCCCTACAAAATTGAGCACAATAATTGTCATATAGTGCCAGAAAGTGATGCTCAGTCTTCTGGGGGAGAAAATTTATCAACAAATTCAATCAGTTGTGAACCCTACAAGCTATAATCCCAACCCGCCAGGTAGGATGGGCCCACTGATGCAATAGTGGCATGACTGCTACGGGGACAACCAATCATTTTCTGATTGGATTTCAAGTCCTCTTCACAGGAAGCGTTGGTGCCTGGTGCTATAACCGTGGTTAAAAGCTCATGGCTGGGGAGTTCATCAACCCTGAAAGGGAAACCCACTACTGTTACTTTACCACTGTGGATATAGTATCAAACTTTCTTCTCAATACTTAGCTTATACCCACAGATTGACTCTGTTTTGAGCCTTTATCAGAGAAGCTTTCATTTGCAGTGGGCAGTGGTTAATGCAGTGACTCATAACTCATCAAAGTGCTAAGTGACAGCTAAGTGCTTAGCTCTAAACAGAGAGCTATATCATCCCTCAGGCTCAGAGAACATCATAGAAGAGGCAGCAGAAAGAATGTAAGAGCCAGAGCATGGGAAGAAGTATTGTGAAACACTGTCTTCTGGACATGACATGATTATTGCACACACGAATTCATATCTGTGTGGTTACCTCCATAAGATCTGCACAAGATCAGGCCTACCTACCCATATTCCATTCTGGATGGGGGAGGGGATATAGGAGATAAGAGGGTAGTGGTTGTGGGGCATATGATCAAAGTACTTTGTACATGTGCATGGCATTTTGAAAGAATAAATATTAATTGGAAAAACATAAAGCAACAATAAAAATTGAGCCTAGCTTGAGGCTTTAGTTTATCTTCCTTGCAATGCTGCTTTTCTGGCACATTTCTTTCCATGTATACCATAACAAAGAAGGCAAAAAAAAAAAAAAAAAAAAAAAAAAAAAAAAAAAAAAAAAAACACTGATTTTTATTGTTGCCTATGATCTGAACTGCCCTTATGTTTCTAGTACTCATTTATCGTTCCTATTCCTCTGTAGTTTTGAACCTAAGGTGTTAGCAAAGCAGGTACTAGGGTGTCTCTGGGCTTTTCTTATGATTGGTCATAATGACAGCTCTTGTTTTTCTCTCTGGTTGTTCATTCATTCCACAATTTACTGAATAGCTATTTTGTTCTGAGGGTTCTAATAAGGACTAAATTAGGATGTGTGTGTGTGTGTACGTGTTTATTTTTAAGTATTGAAATTAAAAACACAGGTTGGGTCAGCATCTTGATTCCACTACTTACTATAATATCATAAGCTCTGGGGCTATTTTAATATCCATGTACATCACTTTTCTCATCTGTTAGGTAGGGAATATGGATACTATAAAACTTTTTTTCCATTATTAAAACTGAAACAATATATGCAAAAACATCTACCATAATACACGGCTTATGGAAAGTGTTTAATATAGTTACAATTCTTTTTGTTTCCAGAATGCTTATTGGAGAACAGCAGTGTTGTTTGCCTACTAGACAGTGTGGCGAAGAGGAACTAGCCCAGGCTTTGTAATCCAGTAGACTTGTGTTGAAATCTCAGCCCAGTCATGGTGAGAATTTGCACCAGTCACTGCTCTGGAGAGCTTTAGTTTCCCAGCATCCTTGTCTTGCAGGGTCCTTGGGGATGCCCCTGTAGGGATACAATACGGCAATGTCTCATGCATCGAGGTGTGCTGGAGACAAGGAATGAACAATGGTTCCTCTGGACACTGTGAGGCATATGAAGGCGAACAAAGGAAGTCGTCCTCTCCCTAGCCTTCCTAGAGATCTCATTGTGGAGATCAGACATGCTCACATACAATGACTGATAACGCTATTTGGTGACTGCCATGAAAGAGTTGTAGCACTCTTTCCACAGGTGTGGAAATTTGCATGAAGTAAGTAGTTTAAGCTGGGAAAAAAAGGGGAGGGGTGTTTTTTTACTAAAAAGAGATTGTAATTTACAAGCCAATTTCTGTCAGCTCTTTCTTCCATCAGTTCCTTCTTCGCTCCCAAACCCGAGGATACCCTATCAGGAAAAGCTTATGTAGAAAGCAGAGATCTACCACCCTCCCTCCCTCCCTCCCTCCCTCCCTCAAGAGTTTGCTGATGTGCGCTCTGTTTCTGCTCCTGGTATTCACAGCAGCTGAGTTATGATTCAGCTTTGCAGCCTTATTTTTCATTTGCTACCTGAGATTCAATGCCCTGGCATCCACCTGGAACCACTGCCATAAAGACTGACTTAACATTCAGAATCGATGAGCAAACCCGAGAAACATTTTACCTGAGGCAGGCGCAAGTGATGAGGGTCTGAGCTCTGATTCTTAGCAGGAGTTTAATCCACTCTGCTGAGCTTTCTGTGGCCCTCCTCCACCTCATTACCACATAAGATGCCTCAGAGGTATGGGGACCTGGGCTTCCTTTCCAGGATATGTTAGAGCCCAGGATCTCTGGGTGTCGTTATTATTTCCCTTTAATTGTGGCCTCTGGACTTAACTCGTTGTGGGAGCTCATTTGTTTTCTTTTCCATTTCCTTTCCATGGGTCTCTTCTGGGACTTGCCCTATGAAACAAAAGACTTGTCTAAAAGATCTCACAGCTAGCAGGTCTTTTCTTTGCCTCATTATCTGTAGATTCGAGCTGCTGATTAATGCATACTTGTACTCTTGAGTTTCCCATAAATCCTGCTTCTTAACTCCGTGAGATTGATCAGCACAGGTGCAGTGGTTGGGAGCTCCCCCATCCCGTTTGTTTTCAACTCTCCGGAGTGCCTTGCTGTTTACTGTGGGTCCAGGCAGACACCTTCTTACCCTTTCCTTTTCCAGTTCTTCTACTGAGTGGTAGAAGCCTTTGGTGGTTCTGACTGCTTCAGTTGCTGCCCCTCCCACCCCTTATCAAAATCACTGTGAAGTGAGCAGCCATTTTATAGATCTTCATACGCATTCCTGACTGCCTTTCATGGGTGCATTGCAATGTAACAGCCAAGTCCATGTGGATCTCTTCGCTGAGATTTGGAATTTGGGACTAAAAGATTTAGGCTAGACCACTCAGGGGTACTGGAGCTAGATAGGACGTTGGGGAGACTGGATGATAGTTTTCTTCTGTGTGATAACAGTGTGCAGTGAGAGAAAAAGGGAACAGCAGCATACAGAAAGGAGACAGAGAGGGGAAAAGGGGGTGGGTGTCTTAAAGGTACCCAGAACCTTTCTTCCTCTGGGGGTGAACTCTTCACTGAGTACCAGAGGTGCCCTCAAACCTTTTCCAATAAAGTGTTTTGGCTCAGAATAGTGCAAGTTGATTTCTGTTTCAGATAATCAAAAGCTGCTACTTAGTACAGTATTTTTACTGTTGTTGTTTGTTTCGTTTTGTTTTTAAGTGAGTTGCCAGTTTGTGGTTTTGAATAGCTTATAAGGAGAAAAGTTAGGTTATTAGTTGTCACCCTTCTAACAGTATAGGAAAATGCTAAAATTTTTTTTAATGTACTCAAGTTACCAATTAAATTCAAAAGAATTGAAAATATGGTCTTGACACCCATGTTCGTACACTGTTATAACCAAAAGAGAGAAGTAATCCAAGCGCCCACTGAAAGCTCAAAGTGTGGGGTGAATATTTGATGAAATACTACACAGCTTTAAAATGGAATATCCCAACAGAGGAGAGCAAGAAAGAGCCCAGAGCATGAGAAGCTTTCCCAGTACAAGTCTACATAATGAGTTCTGGGCCAGCCAGAGATTCAAAACCAAAACCAAAACCAAACAAGCCAAAAACAAAAGATGGGAAAAAAAAAAAAAAAAAAAAAAGGACTTTCTCAGGAGGAATTCAACTAAACTTTTATTTGCTGATGGCTACACCACATGGGTGATCTAATGTGGCCCTCACCCCAGACACTGGAAGGTCATGGAGGTCTACTGAACACAGAGAAAATATTCATATTGCCAGGATAATCCGAAGACAGCACAGCTATCAATGAACACTGAGGACATTATGCTAAGTAAAATAAGCCAGTCACAAAGATACAAACACTATGGGGATGTCTTTATGTGAGGTATCTGGGGCAAACACATCTAATGCACGCTGAGAGCGTGATGGTGGTTAGTGGGCAAAGGATGCTGTGAGAGAGGGTCATTATCCAATGAGTATGCAGCTTTAGTGTGGACATGGGGCGGGTCATTGTCCAATGAGTCCAATGAGTACACAGCTTTAGTGTGGACACGGGGCAGGTCATTGTCCAAAGGGTCATTGTCCAATGAGTATGCAGCTTTAGTGTGGACACGGGGCGGGTCATTGTCCAATGAGTATGCAGCTTTAGTGTGGACACGGGGCGGGTCATTGTCCAATGAGTATGCAGCTTTAGTGTGGACACGGGGCGGGTCATTGTCCAATGAGTACACAGCTTTAGTGTGGACACGGGAAAGGGGTTCTCAAGATCAGCTGTACAACAGAGCAGATGTACTCCACACTACTGAACTGCATGTTTACGAATCATTCTGATGGCTAAGTTCATTCTGCATATTTTACCATAATTTTAAAATCATCAGCAAATGCCATGAATAACAGTCTGTCTTTTAGCATTACTTCACTCCTGAGTTGCTTGCATTAACTCACACAAGTACCTGCTGAGAGTTTCATGTCCCATGCAAGCATCTGGGATCACCAAGGGGAATAAGAGACGGGTTGTTGATAAGCCTGATCACAGCATCCATTGTTGTGGAATATTATTTTAACTGGGCAAAGCTGTGTTCCATTTGTTTAGACTGGGCAAACAAACCTTCTCTGGCTTTTTATTCCAGCTGTTGTGCTCACCAGTTGAGCTTGGCTTACTTGGGAGACATTATCCTGTGTGACACTAGTAGGCCGAACAAAAGACTCCTTTGGTGTGTTGTTTTCTTGTTTGTCTCTAGGTAGGACAGTAACTGGTAACTTGAAAGTAGCAATAGGTGTGGCTGGGTAGCACTGATGGCAGAGGCAGCAGAAAGTTGGTGGCAGCTGAGAGGCAAAGCCACAAGACTGTCGAGTGACGGTAGCTGCTCGTCCTCTATGGTGACAACTCTTACACCAGCCTTGGCAAGAGTCCATTGAGCAGTTCAAGTGACAGCCAAAGCACAAATTAGGGGGTAGTGAAGAAGAGATAGGATGGAGAGCTGAAATCAAAGATAGATCAGGAGCCATAAAGAGCTAGATAAGAGAAACTGAAGTTCCTGGTCACTGGAAGAGACTTGTCAAATCTGTGGGGCCAAGAGGCTCAGATCTCTCAGGCCTAGGAGCTCTAACACCAGTCTCTGGCATAGGCTCGGCAGAGGCTGTAACACTTGTAAAGCTAAGGTCTGCTACATAATACCTGCAGGAGCTGTTACAGTGGAGAGCTTCAGTGGGGCTGCTCACACCTGCCTGTTGCTACTGTTTGCTGCTGCCAAATGCCAAGGGATATGAAAGATGCTGTCTATATCTATATCGTTGATATCTGTTTTTATACCATCCACAAGCTAAGGTCTGCTACATAATACCTGCAGGAGCTGTTACAGTGGAGAGCTTCAGTGGGGTTGCTCACACCTGCCTGTTGCTACTGTTTGCTGCTGCCAAATGCCAAGGAATATGAAAGATGCTGTCTATATCTATATCATTGATATCTGATTTTATACCATCCAAATCTATATCATCCATACCATCTACATCTCTGCCATCTGTGTCTATACCATCTATATCTATCTTTATCTCTTTATATATACATATATATATGTATATATATGCATGTATAAGTGTGAAGAGAGAGACAGAGAGAGAGAGAGGAGAGAGAGAAAAGAGAGAGAAGAGAGAGAGATACACACACACACACACACACACAGAGAGAGAGAGAGAGAGAGAGAGAGAGAGAGAGAGAGAGATGGGGGGCTTATTAGATTGGCATATACAGGCTGAGGTCCAGTAGCTGAACGATGGCTTTCTGCAACAGAAAGGCCAAGAATCCAGAGCTGTTCAGTCCATGAAACTGAATATCTCAGTAGCCTCAATCTTTTGCTAAAGTACTGGGTGATTCCAGAGGAACTGTTGATATAGAGTATAACTTGGAATCACAAAGTTCTAATCCAATCAAAGGAATACTTCAGCAACAGGATACATAAACTAGTGAGAGTAAGGTCAAGCAGGCAGAAAGCAAAGGCTTCCTTCCTCCCTGTCCTTTTATGGGGGCTGCCACCAGAAGGTGTGGCCCAGTTTAGGGTCGTTCTTCTCATTTCAAATTACCAGATCAAAAAAATCCCTCATAGGCATACCCAGCAGTCTGGGTTTTAATTGACTACAGATGTAGTCAAATTGACAACCATGATAAGCCATCTCAGCTACCAAAGATCAGAACAGGAACTGGTTTTTACCTACTGATGATTTCTAGCTGGGAGAACAAAGGGACCCAGTTACTGATTGGCAACATTGAGGTGGAGGGGTGTGTGTGTGTGTGGGGGGGCGTGCTAAATGTCCAAAAGAATGGAAGAGTATTCCATGGGAGTCAGAAGGCCAGAGGCAGAACCCTAGCCTATCATGTGCAAGGCTCTGAGTTAAATCCTCAGCACTGAAAAACAAAGAAAAACAAAAGAAAACATAAGAATGAAGAAAGCATCATGGGAGTCAGAAGAACTTGGGGAAGGGTAGTGAGACTGAAAGGGATTTGATTGAACAGAGGGCACTTGGCCTGAGAAGACAGGATTAGAAGAAGCAGACTAAACAGCTAGGATATTGATGCGCTTGTAATTTTAATCATGTAATTATATAGTCACATAGTGTGAGCACAAATCTATTCTTGACTAACTTGCAGCAATGTCCACCTACTGTGCATCCAAACAATAGCTATTGACCCATTCAGGAAGATAGGTGTTCTACATGTTAGGAAGACAGCAATCAAGTCTCTGCATTCATCAAACTCAAATTCTAGAGGCTGCTTTTTGTAATTGTCAAGAACACAAAGAAATGGCTCAGTGGTTTAGAACACTAGGTCTTCCAGAAGTACTGAGTTCAATTGCCAGCAACCAATAATGAGATCTGGTGCCTCTTCTTCTTGTCTGTATGGATACATGCAGGCAGAACACTGGACACATAATAAATAAATCTTTTAAAAAATATGTGAGATAGGATCCTATCTTTAATGTGTGAATATGTAGTCCTACACATTATTAAAATGAGACTTGTGTACATAGTTATAAACGAAGGGAAAGTGAGAGAATTCCCCAGTAATTTTGAGAAAGTAGGTATAGTAGTATCAGCAGTGATTGGATGGCAGCAGTGGGTAAGCTTTACTTTGTCATCTGTATTTTCTGTACCATGGGGGGCTGTAAACTTGAGCTTTATTGTACCATTTAAAAGTTGTGTATAATGTACACAGCCAAGCTACTGCACACTAAAAGTAAAAAAAAAAAAATGCTCTCACCTGTTTTCTCTCTTCCCATCTCCTAAAATAGTTTTCACGTTTCTAACTCAAAGCCTCTTGATGTTCCACACTCCCCACACAGCTGCTATCACCCCCTTGTTTGTGGTCCATAAATCCTTTATTTGATCAAATAATGTCTTCAGCTTGAGAGTAGTGCTTTTCCTAAATAACACTGTACCAGAAATCTGAGGCTTGGGGCTTTGATAAGGCACAATATGTTGCAACTGCAAATGCTCACTGTTTCTGTTTGCTATGTAGGCTGTTCTGAGTATAGAAAATGTTCAAATAAAGCGGGCTAGAAAGTAGCTCATTGATTTTTATAGTGGAAACAAAAGAACCACAGAATTTAGAATCCCTTCCTGTGACTACCTTCATTACAAGAATGGTCCAGCCTTAAGTGTTGTATCTTTCCCAGGCCCCAAAGTGCTACTGGCCATGATTTCCTAGTATGTTCTAGGCCTAGGAGGTTCAAGGCTAAGTTTGTTTGCCATGGCATCGCTTCTGTCAAACACAGATGTATCTTTTCCACCAAGGCCCCAGTTTGCTGGCAGGACCTGCCTTACCTGGCATGGCTTGTCAGCAGTGGTTGGCTTTCCAAAGTTGTGCCTGCTGTCAAAAGCCAGGGTGTGGTGATTTTAACAGCCAGGGTTTTGAATGTGATTTTGTCAATGACTTTCACTTATTTGCCTTTCTGTTTCCTAGTCTAACCATTGCTGTGCTTCCTCTAAATTTGAATTGGGAACGTTTTAATGGGAATTTTTCAGTGCATGCATTTTATTGACAACTCCCCTGCTTTTTGTGCCCCAGTGGGTAACTTGTAATTGTGGATCCTGCTGTCATTTTGAGTTAAAACTCAAACAATTTGCTTGTGACATGTTTTAAAAGGTGGAAGTAACTATAACTTGAAAAATGATTTACATAAATTGTGGACAAATGAGAGTAAGAAATTTAAATATAAAAATGAGAGTACATAGTTAACATTATGGCAATAGGGAGAATCCCAAGGTTTAAATAAAAACAGATTCCTCATCAAACATCCACTTATGTGATTGCTTTGTTGGTGGCTTAGAATTCCTTGAAGTTTTCTGTTGCTCTTAGGACTGAGTTCAAGTGCATAGGGTCAGCCTATAGTCATTCCATCCCTTGCCTCCTCTTCCATTCTAATTGCAGGATAACCTGTCCTCTTCATTTCCTCCCGTGCCTGAAGGGAGGCAAGAATTTGGAATTCTTGCCTATTCCCCTCCATCTGTATAGCTTTCACTTGTTTGTCAGGACCCAGCTCCTAAGCAGTTTTCTCTGAGGAGCCTTCCAAAATTTCAGTCTAGGCCAAGATCCTCTGTGTTATGTCATCATAAGCATCTCATGTTGTGTGCAGATTTCCTCCATTAGCCAGTCAAAGGAGGAGAGACTGTGTCTGTTACCATTGCAGCCTAGTAACTGAGAGTTACTTAGCTTGTACACAATAAATATTTCTCTCTTTTGGGTGATTTTTTTAATTGTGAGTGTGTGGATGTGTATGTGTGAGTGTGTGTGTGTGTGTGTGTGTGTGTGTGTGTGTGTGTGTTAGTGTGTGTTCACAGGAAGTCAGGAAAGGGTGTAGGATTTTTTAGAGCTGGAGTTAGAGGTGGTTGTGAACATCCAATGTGGATGCCTTGAACCCAAGTTGGGTCCTCTGCAAAAGCAACATTCACTCTTAACCTGGAGTCATCTCTTTAGCACTAAATACATATTTCTTAACTAAATGGGTACATGGGAACATTTGCCAAGAAAAAGGAATCACAATTAACTTTAAGGGTCCATGCTGTCAGTAGGTTGAGTACTTAGGTTATCCAATCAATGCAGATGGGCAAATGTTGAACACCAGAATGTGCCCATACCATCATTGCTCTTGATGTTCTCTTACACTGTTTCATAACTGGTGGCACTAGGGCTCAGTGAGCATGGACAAAACATACAGAACTCTGAGCTACAGCGGCCTCACTTATTGCTCTCCATTCTATAGCAAGGTGCAACTGCTTCTAATTTGATGCTGTTTTCACAACCATCTTCTAGACTCTCCTGTTGGAGCAGGTGAGCCCTTGGATTGCCTCTATAAGAAGGAAGTCAAAGGCAGACACTGGAGTGCATTCCTAGAAAGGAGAGAAGAGAGTAGGGAGAAAACTCTGATCTAGGAATCCAGACATCTGGGTTTGTCTCCCTTTTGTTACTACCTGGCTATTTTCACACTGGACAAGTCACCTAGACTCCCAGGACCTTAGCTTTCTCCGCAACTCACTGAATGAAAATGACTGGATAATTTCTTAGCACGGCTTCAGCTTTAAATTCTACAATGTTAATCTTAATTGGTATGTGGCTTTGGGATGGTGTAGTGATTATTGTTCTTCGGCCCAGAAGGACCACATGAGATAGCTCATCTCTCAGGGGCTCACCTGAAGTTGCATATTGGATGAAGACAACAAACATAATTTCATACCACCCACTTATTGACATTTGTGTGCATGCACAGGTAACTAAATTAGAACCATGAGCTGGGAAGGATTAAATAAGAATGGCACATAGGGAACATGCCACCTCTCCACGACATGTCTGCTGTTACCCTTTCGATGAGCCCCAAGGGAATATCCCCTCTCCTGCACACCCTTCTAGAGTCGCACGGCCCACTCTTTCTAATGGATACTTACTTTCAGAAAAATGTTTGTAGTTCTGCCTCTCTTGAAATTTCTTCATATATTTAAGCAATTAGCAATCAGCTCTAGCATCTTATTGCTGCACGTGCAAATCTGAAACATAAAAATGCAAATTGTGGGGAATGAAAATAGATTTGAGATTGTTTGCACATCACCGATCTTCATGAACAATTAAAACTTAGCAGATTTGTAATGATCTTTGAAGGTACTAAAGTAAATAAAATAATTATATTACCTATGTGAGAATTTAGTGAAAGGAGAGGAAAATTATCATTCTGAGTTTTTTAAAAAATAGCCAAGTTCAGCTTGGATGATGTGACTAAAGAAACACTACCAGGTAAAAGTTTAAATATGCATAGCTTTCAAACTTGGGCTTTCTAACAGATCTTATATTAGTGACTTCTTCAACATGCCCTGAAACACCCTAAATTGTGAAGGAAAAAACAGAAAAGAATTTAAAGTGAACAAGCAGTTTGAACTTGAGAGTTTGTTTGGAGCTAAAATGGCAGGCATTGCCAAATGATAGAAAATGACATAGAAATGAGAATATTTATTTTTACCCTGTTTACTTTCTGTGTGTGAACTTGAAACTGCATCACTAGTTAAGAAATTCATTTTTTTCTGTCACCATCTGCCTCTGCTGATTTAAGTAAGTCACTTTAAGCCCTCCAGAGAGAATCGTTGATATGCATGGCATTATTATTTTATAGAAGGGCGAGTAAAAACTTTAGGGAAAACGGGAGAATATGCCGTCAAGGATGACACTGTAATTTACAGTCTTATTGCAAATTAAATAGATTCTGGAAGTGGGTATCCACATTTTATAGGAAAACAAATGATTTGGTTTCTTTCTGTATTGGATCAGCTTCCTGTATTGAAATGGGATATCTGTTCTGGAAAGGGCTTGATCACTGACCCTGAATGGTAGGTATAAGTTCCAGACCATGGGTGGGAAAATTCCTGAGGATGGTGGTCAGTGAAGTGTAGAAAGAACCTTTCTTTCTAAGTGCTGAGTCAAAGCTGCCAACGTAGTGGGTCACCTTAGACCATGGGTGGGAAAATTCCTGAGGATGGTGGTCAGTGAAGTGTAGAAGAACCCTTTCTTTCTAAGTGCTGAGTCAAAGCTGCCAACGTAGTGGGTCACCTCCTGGAAATTTTCTCCCCCTCTTCCCAGAATGATGTACAACAGTTACATTTTAGAATTCTAAGTACCTTTCCCCAGAGAATTTAATTTCCCGGGAACAATTGTAATTTCTTTATCATAAAACCTTGTGTTTGATTTGTCTCCATAACAATATAAAAGTATGTGCCACCTGTTGACTAGAGAATTTACATCAGCTGTGAAACTCAGATTATTGCAAGGAATGTGGGAGTTTCCATGTTAATTAGAGAGAGGAATCTGACTTGGGTTTAAAAGCATCCCTACCACAGTTTAGGAAGTAGGGTTAGGCCTTGTTTGGAGACTGAGCACTGTTCTGGCCTGAATGACCTTGCTCCCCACCAATGAGTAGGTTGAGCCCCTAGTCCCCAAAGTGACAATCCTAGAAGAGATAGGGCTCTTGGAGAATTGATAAGTCACAGAGGTGTCATCCTTAAGAAGGACAAAAGCCAATACCAAACTGTTTTCATTACTGTAGCTCTATAGTAGAGCTTGAAGTCAGGGATAGTGATGCCTCTGGAAGTTCCTTTATTGTACAGGATTGTTTTGGCTATCCAGAATTTTTTTTCCATATAAAGTTGAATATTTTTCTTTCAAGTTCTGTGAAGAATTGTGCTGGGATTTTGATGGGGGTTGCATTGAATCCTGTAGATTGCTTTTGGTAGATGGCCATTTTTACTATGTTGATCCTACCTATCCAAGAGCATGGGAGATCTTTCCTTCATCCAGTAACTGAAGGAAACAGAAGCAAGGATTCACAGCTAAGCACTGAGCCAAACTCCTGGAATCTAGTTGTAGAGAGGGAAGAGTGATGAGCAAAGGGGTCAAGACCATGCTGGGAAACCCACTGACCATGGTCAGAAACAGCTGACCATAACAAGTGGGAGCTCATGGACCATAGTCTGACAGCTGGGGAATCAGTGTAAGACCAAACCAGGCCCCCTGAACTTGGGTGTCAGTTGGGAGGCTTGGACAGTCTACAGGGCCTCTGGCAGCAGAATCAGTATTTATCCCTAATGCATGAATGGGCTTTGGGAGCCCATTACCTATAGAGAGATACTCTCTCTCTGCCTAGATACATGGGGGAGGGCCTAGGTCCTGCCACAAATAATGTGACAGACTTTAATGATCCCCCATGGGAGGCTTCGCCCTGCCTGAGGAGTGGATGGGGGTGGGGAGGTTGGTGAGGGGAATGGAAGGATGGGAGGGGGAGGAAACTGGGATTGGTATGTAAAATAAGATTTTCTAATTTAAATAAAAAATAGTTTTAAAAGGGACATAGCACATAAGGAAGCCACATAGCACACTTGTCCCCCTGTCCACTAAATCTGCAGGTGCCCAGACTCTGAGCTTGCTGTCCCCCAGAACCAAGGAAGAGATTTTTTGTTTTTGGTATATTAGAAGCTTGCCCAGCCTGTGGTCTTTTTTTATAGCAACCAAAATTGGCTAATGCAAGCTAAGAATAGATAATCAAAGGTGAATTTTCTGGAACTCCAGGCCGAGCTAGAGGGAGCAACTGAAACCTGGGGAGGAGAGAGAGAGAAATAATCCATAAGGTGAAGGGTTTGTTAAATGCAGGAGGGGCTGGCACTGGGGGCTGATTGACAAGGCAGAAGGAGGAGTGTGTTCCGGAAGTTGTACATAGTATGAAGGTCACAAGGAAGGCTACTGTGGTGGGAAATGTGAGGGCAGAGTGGGAGGGGCCAACAAAAGTCAGGGTGCTGGCTATTAGTGGGTACACTCAATTGGATACCAGAAGGACATTCCTGAAATGCTGTGTGAAAACTGACTTGCCCCAAACTACAAGCATGTTTAGTGGTATGTCAAAGAAAGGGATGTCTCTCGGGGAAAGGGCACTCGGGTAACTCAAATTCTAGTTCTCTGAATTAGTTCTTTTGCTACTCCAGATTTATGTTTCTGTAGATTTTCTGAGGGCCATGGACAACTGAATAAAACTGTTGGAAGAAAACCATTTAATTGTTTTAGTTTGGGGTGTAGCAGCAGTGAAGTACAGACTGCTCCCAACTGAAGGAGGCCCTGGCCTTTACATCCAACTCCTCGTCTTCCAAATGGGAAAAACAGAGAAAGTGTTCAAGAGTAAGTGGCTCCTGACTGTTAACTGAAGGCCTCTGCTCTGCTCACCCCAGAACTGACTGGGCATCAAGAGGTGGGACCCTGCAGTCCTCCCTTCCACTCAAAGCTCTTTCTGCATGGGCTTCACACTGGCTGGTGTGTGGTGTGCGGAGACACAAGCACACCACACAGCTCCAAAGGCCTGTAATGGTGCATTGGCCCTGCAACTCCTGCTTCCTGAGACTTGCCTAAAAGAATTCATTGTAAGACTCCGAGACAGAGGGGGAAAAAAAGTAACTGTTATTGGTTCACCAATAGCCAGGGACTGCAGTCATATATCTTACAGAAGGAGACAGATAATGCTAAGAGAAAAAAATCCATCTTCCAGAAAGCAATAAAGCTTTAAAAGTGAGTGTAGGAAAAAACACCACAGCCCAGTTTCTCTGCCGTTCTTACAGAATTTGTCAAGAATGACACCTTAAACTGATCCAAGTTTCATAGACCCTGGGAAACCACAAGTATGATGTGTTTGAAGATGCTGCATTCTCTAACAACGTGTCACTTTGCTCTGGCTTTCTCTTCTCTGCACACCATCTAACTTTGCTACTTGTCATTTCTCTTCAGTGATCCCACATGTATCTCTTGTGTGCTAGAAATGAGCGATATAACTGCAGAAAATGCATCAGGGGGAGAACAGAGAAGAAGGCAGAGGCAGGTGGATCTATGTGAGTTCGAGGCCAGCCTGATCTACAGAGTGAGTGATAGGACAGGAAAAAAAAAACTGGTTTTATTTTTTTACAAGATAAATTTTCTTTCTTTTTTAATTGAAAATATATTTTTCATACTCTTAATTCTGACTACAGTTTCCCCTCCCCCTACTTCTCCCAGTCCCCACTTTTACCCCCTCATCTGGACCCACACTCTTTCTGTCTCTCTTTAGAAAACAAACAGGCATCTAAGGGATAATAATAAAATTAAATAAGATAAAACAAAAACAAACAAATTGGAATAGGAAGAACAAACAGAAGAGGCAAAGAAAAAGCACATGAAACAGAGATAGATAGATAGATAGATAGATAGATAGATAGATAGGCACACATTCACACACACAAGAATCCCACAAAAACACAAAACTGAAAAGCATATAGTTACATAGCAAGGAGAGAAAGAAAGAAGGGAAGAGAGGAAGGAAGGGAGGGAGGAAGAGAGAAAGAAAATATGAAAGAAAAAAGGAAGAGAGAAATAGAGAAAGAAAGAAAGAAAGAAAGAAAGAAAGAAAGAAAGAAAGAAAGAAAGAAAAAGAAAGAAAGATACCCTGACTCAACATTATGAGACAAAGACCCTACAAAGATTCCTTTGAATTTGTTTTCTGTTGGCCATCTTCTCCTGGGCATTTGGCCTACCTTGAAGAGTTGTTTGTTTCCCCAGTGAGATTCCCTTGAAGAAAACTGATTTTTGATTTGTAAATGGTTATCAATTGGAGATTGCTTCAGGGTTAGGTACTAGAACTTCTTTCAGTTCTAGTACCTCATCTGGTGCAGAACTATGCAGGCCCTGGGCAAGCTGCCTCAGTCTCTGCAAGTTCATATGTGTGTTGGTCCTCGTGATTTAAAGGTCCTTGTTTCCTTGGTGTTGTGGGAAATTACTAATACGGAGTCAGGTAGAAATATAAGGGTATTTAATAGGGAATAGCCTTACTTACAGAGTGACCCAGCCAGCTGGCGTGGTAGAGGTCTGTACACCAAGAAGCAAAGAGAAACCAAAACCGAAAACGCAGTCCCACTACGTCACTCTGACCACGCCCTCACAAGCCTGGTCAGGCACACCTGTAGCCAGCCTCTAAGAAGGCATGGCTACAGCTTTCCCTACACCTTGGTGTTATCCATCTCTCCCCTCATCCATAGGCTACCCTATGAGAGGGAATCTGTCTGTCTGTCCGCCATCCATCCATTGGTCCATCCGTCCGTCCATCCATCCTTCCATCCATCCATTTGTGCCTGTGTGCCAAAATATAAGGATGGAGGTCAGAACACAATGAGTAGGTTATCTCCAACCTGTGGGTTCCAAGAATCAAACTCAGGTTGTCAGGCTTGGCAATAGGCATCCTTACCTTGCTTTTCAGCCCACTCTTTCCTATTTTTCCTTCTTTTCTGCTTTAAATAGGTTCTCACAAACTATCTCAAACTGGGCTCAAATGTAGCAACCCTCCTGCCTCAGCCTCCAGAGTGCTAAGATTATTGGAGAACATTACAACATCTAGTTTTGTTTTCTTTAAAAAAATGTTAAGACTCTAATTTGTTTTTGAATAATGAACTTAATCCTTCTAAGGCTTAGAGATATGTTTGGAGAGATTTGAGGTTCCAGTGGATGACCTGGAAGTACATCAACAGCTCTAGACTGTGAGAGCTACAGAAATTGTTCAGTTTACCCCCAAGTCATTCTTTGCTTGACCTAAAGAAATTTCACCTTGTTATAACAGTACAAGACCTTGCTCTGCTTGCTATGCAATGGAAGGAAATTATTTGAAAGGCAATGTTCTGGTTGGAAGATGGTGAACCACAGAGCTGATCTGTGGTGATATTGATTTAGGAGTGGATTCTATAGGAGATGATTGATTGCACTCTAGTGAGTGCTGTCTGGAAGGTAAAGACTTGTGTTCAAATGATGTGCATTTGATCTCAACCACTTAGTCACAAGATGTGGTTTCATGTTCTTCAAATATTGAGGAGGAGGGTCATTATTTCCTCAGTCTATTCTTGTCCTTGTTTACTTTGACCATGTGCAGTTTCTGATGTATCATTTTACAATGAACAGGCTAGGGTGGGTGGATGTCCAGAGGCCCTGTTGCTGCCCAACAAACTCATGATAAGGAAGCAAACAGACCACACCTGGAGATTGTGAAAGACAAAGGTCTCCTGAAATTCAGCCAGGAGCTAGGCAGAAGATGAGCTCTTAACACATTTCCTACCGCACATGACCTTTCTCATGTTTTAAGAGCCATCTGTTAAGGACCACTCATGAGTTTTCTTGTGTTTTGAACACCAAGATACACTTAAAGAATTGTTCAACATCCCCACCCATTAAGGAAATACAAATCAAAATGACTGAGATACCATCTTACGTCTATCAGAATAGCTAAGAACAAAAACACTAATGACAGCTTAATGTTGGAGGGGATGTAGAGTAAGGGGAACACTCCTGCACTTCTGGTGGGAGTGCAAGCTTGTACAGCCATTTTGGAAATTGATATGGCAGTTTCTCAGAAAATTGGAATCAATCTACCTCAAGACCCAGCTATACCAGTCTTGGGCATACACCCAAAGGATGTTCAATCATACCACAAGGACACTTGCTCAACTATGTTCATACCAGTGTTGTTCATAATAGCCAGAACATGGAAACAACCTAGATGTCTTTAAACCAATGAGTGGATAAAGAAAATGTGGTACATTTACACAATGCAGTATTACTCAGTTTTTTTTTTAAATAACATCATGAAATTTGCAGACAAATGGATGGAACTAGATAAAAATCATTCTGAATGATGTAACCTAGAACCAGAAAGACAAACATGGTAGTACGTACTTACTCATAAGTGGATATTGGGTATAAAGTAAAGGATAACCATGCTATAATCCACAGCCCCTGAGAGGCTAGGTAAAAAAAGAAGGCCCAAAGAGGGACACATGGATTTCTCTGTGAAGGAAAAATAGAAGAGCTCTCCTGGGTAAACTGGGGACTGGGGGTTGGGGTAGGATAGAGGGAGAAAGAGAGTAATGAAAGATGTCTTGATGGCAGAAGAGGGAGCATTTCAGGGTTAGGGAGAAACTTGGTACCAGGGAAACTCCCAAGAATCCACAAGGATAGCACCATCTATATCTGCAATGTGGAGATATACATGCTGAAAGGAAGAAATTGCAAGAAACTGTTCTTTAGTCCTTGGACCCTGTCTTGACCTAAGGTACCATATTTACCAGGATAATTACAATGCTACTTCTACTGCTGAATTGTTGCTACAAAACACAACTAATGTCTGTGGGGCTATTAGGGAGAGTAGAGGTTTACCACCAAATTTGAAAATGAAAACATCAAGAATGAAGAAAGGTGACATAGTAATTGCCAGAAAAGGTGATATTCTTCTCTTAGCATGGAAAGACAAGTGGGTTGTCCAAATGATGTCAACGATCGATGACACTTCTGTCTTGACAACAGGGGAAAAATAGAAAAATGGGAGAGAATATTGTAAAACTACCTGCATCAAGGAATGCAATGCCCACATGAAAGGTGTTGTGGATCAATTTCTTTTCTGTTGTTCCATTCTAAGGAAAATGATGGCATGAACAAAAAAGGTAGTGCTGTACCTTATGAACTGTGGAGTTTTCAATTCATTTAGAGTGTACAACATCCTCAATCCACAAGCAAAAAATGGAGTGTAAACAGTTTCTGCTTTTGGTAACAAAAGACTAACAACAAATGACAATAATTAAGGCTCTCTGGAACCATAGACAAGTCTGTCCAGTCCTTCCCCTGGGAATGCAAGTAGAGCACTCTAAAGATCCACCCAAAATGTTGTCAGGTGATACAAAAGCAGCAAGAACCTACGTGTATTCCAGTGAGTGGAAAGAAAAACTTTGCTAGGAGAGCCTACAGAGTTTGTGCCACCCATGGATAAAGGAGTGAATCTAGATACTTATGTAATTTTTGGTCCCTCTTCCTAGAGAGGAAAATGTTTTAATCAGTGCCATACATTTTAAATGTACCAGGAACTTTAATTGTTTAATTAGTCATTTCATTGTTCAACTGTTTTTATAAGTAAAAAAGTTATTGAAAAACAAATTCAAAATGCATTATGATATGCAATTATGATGATTTAAATAACATTCAGTTTGCCCCAAAACATGTGATTCCTGGCATATGTCTTAGAGATTTCTACACAGTATGAAATGTGTTATCACTCGGCTTCACTATGAACTCCAGGCTTAGGATTAGCTGTGACTCAAAATGAACTTTGAACCAGTATCTGGAGTTCTGTTTCTTACTTATAGATTCCAGATACCTTTGTCTCCATGAATTTTCCTCCCTGTCTCTTTAGCTCAGGAATTCTCCTATAGTCTTCTAAGGAGTTTCTTCCCTACAGAACTTCCCACTAATGAACTCCACAGCTAGAGTCAATGCAGCCCTAACACTCACCTCCCTTGTCTCCTTTTCATCCAATAGCATCCCACTGACCAGTGTTTAGAATGAGGTACTGAGCATATCTCCCCCGCAGCAGCCCATGGGCCCCCTGTAAGACAGATCATAGTCTAGGTCTCAGAGAAAGACTTAATAAATACGAAACAATTGAAACAATTTCTTAGCTCTTATCAGATCACAGTTGAATAAAACTAGAAATCAATAATAAGAGAAATCACAAAAGCTACACAAACACTTGGCGTCTGAACAGTATGCTGCTGAAAGACTGGTTGTACATCAGTAAAGAAACTGGGAGGGAATTATAAAATTATAAACGAAAATGAATGCATAGCCTACCAGGACATATGAGATACATCTAAGGCAGCTCTAAGAGGAAAGTTTGTAACTGTGAGTGCTTGTGTTAAAATGTTAGTGATAGATCCAATAAATAACCCACTGTGCACCTCAAAGTCTAGGGGAAAAATACACAGAAGATAAACCCCAAAGCAGTTGATAGTAAGAAATAACAAAGATCAGATCAAATCACCACAGAAATCAATGAAATAAAAGCGAAAAGAACAATGCATAGATCCATCAAAGCATTAGTTCTTTGAAAAACTAAACAAGGCTTTCAAGCACCTGCCCAATATAACCAAAAAAAAGTAAAGTTTAATATGACAAGGGGAGGGTGTCACAACAGGTTGCCACAGAATTCAGAGGGTCACTAAGGAATACTTTGGAAACTCATACTTTAAAAACCTGGAGAATAAAGACAAAATGGAGGCATTCCAAGACACTTAAAACTTCCTTTACGATTCCACCTGGCCCCAGTCAGAATGGCTGGGAAAGCAAATACTGGCCAAAAGATGAAGAAAGAAATGTATAAACTGTCATCAGGGTGTCAACTAGTCTATCCAGTCTAGAAGTCAGTTTGGGGGTCCTCCCAAAGCTATAGACAGAGATAACCTGTGACCCAGTTACACCACTCCTAGCTTTATACTCCAAGGATTCTAAGTCAGCATCCCACAGAGACACGTGTGTGTGTGTGTGGGGGGGGTAAAAATAGAAAAGGGACCATAGAAAAGGAAGAAGAGTAAAGAAGGAGAGACAGGGGACCGAAGGGGAGGATGGAACATGAACGCACAAGGTGGGACTATGGAGGGTCAGGAAGGGACCAGGGAGACAGGAGAGGTGAATGGGAGAGGTGTAACAAGAACACAGCATAGTAATTTGAGTATGGCAATGTGACAGTGAAACACATGTCATTGCACGCTAACCAAAAACTTAATAAAATAAAACGAAAATAAGCCACGTAGTCAGAATATTTTGTCAAGCTAAAAGTCATGGTGAGAATATATGTTTATTATTATAACAGTCCAATCACTTGTTGCAGCAGGCAGCAGAATTTCCAACTTTAGATGTTTTACAATTGTGCAATCTTTCCCCAGTTGTGGTTGAGAGCTTATTTTAGCTATGAGCCACAGCCACCGATAAGTGCTGAGAAGTGTGGGCAGGCGAGGCCCTGTCTGGGTCCCTCACTATAGAGCAACAGAGCATGCAAACACATGAATTTATTGGGAGCACATGGGCAGGGGTGCCTCTTGGCTGAGAGCTGAAACTCAACACTGACTCAGCAGGACCCAGAACCAAAACACATGCTTGTGACTTCCACCGTCCAGCCCCAGTGGATGTGTCTCTTTATCTCTTGCCTTGTATTCGTGAGTCAGAATGCTGCAAACCATCTTAGTCTGAATGCTGGAAGATTTTGGGTGATGATTGCAGACAGATACTACTTTGAAGTGTTGGGAGTATTTGAACATTAGAAGTAGTGAGAAAATACAAGACAAATTAATTAGCTTGCCAAATTCTTCCTGTCAAGGGTCTGGGATATAAAAAACTTTTACTGATCATTAATCATTTATCAATAGCATAGAAAATTACTTTATTTTGAATTTAGTTTTTATGTGTATGCATTTTGCCTGCATTCGTGTATGTATGTGTGATGGGGAATGTACTGTGTATGTTTATCTTATTGATTGTTAAATAAAGTTCTGTTTGGCCAATGAAATAGCAAGTTAGACAGTACTAGGAGTCAAAGAGGATTCTGGGAAATGTAGATCAGTGATCCAGGCAGGAAGTGACATAGTAAGGAGACTCATATCTAAGCGAGGAAACAGGAAGTGTCCCCTTTTTCCCGTTTGCCTCCTCCAGCGGAAGAATGTGAGCCACCGACAAGGAGGGACGCCAATAAGGCATCCGATAAGATAAGTCTTATAACATATATAGATTTATGATAATTAAGACTGAGCTAGCAAATGAGAATCCTAGTCATTGGCTAAGCAGCATTATACCTAATATGTCTCTGTAGTATGTTGTCCATCCACACGGCGGGCAGAACTCGGGCGGCTGGCAGAGACTGCCCACATGGCAGTGGGGCTCGGGCAGCCTTTGGTGGAAAGATTTATCATAATGTGTGTGTGTGTGTGTGTGTGTGTGTGTGTGTGTGTGTGGTAAAAAGAAGGCATTGAATCCCCTGGAACTGTAGTTACCAGTTGTGAGTCACCATATGTGTGCTTGGAACTGAACTAGGGTCCTCTGCAAGAGCAGCAAGTGCTCTTAACTGCCAACCCATCTCTCCAGCCCTAAATGTTTATTTTCTTGCTTCTCTTGTTTCAATTTGTTTTCCCTAAGGTACCTATAAAATTACTATAGTGTTTGCAATAGTCAGCATAGCAACTGAAGAATGCTTGGGGATATTTTAATAATTGTGTTTGTGTGCATGCAGAAGTAGCCATAGCATGAATATAAAGCCATGTTCCCTTTACCTCACCAGTAAGACAGATGCTGAGTCTTAGAGTTATAAGTAGGCTAGAGTTAAAAGTATTTGTCTATTTTATAAGACAATGAACTTATATAAAGGCAAATTGTTATAATTCCAGAATCATTTCAACACTTTAATATTTTATATTGATAAATTATATGTATACTTACTTAATTTCAATATATAATTTTAATATCTCTGAAAAATAAAATTTCAGAAACATGAAGAATAATTTAGTTTTAAAGTTTAATTTTACTAGATATATCCAGATCTGTATACACTGAATGTTGTTTTAATATTTTTTAATCATTTGTAACTGATACAGATTGAAACAATGATAAATATAGAAAATAAGAAAGTGTAGTCTGTGTGCATGTATGCATTTGTGTATGTGTATTGTGTATGTGTACCGTGAATGTGTATCTGTGTGTTTTGTGTAAATCTGTATGTGTGTGTACACATTTGTGTTTGTGTATCTGTGTGTGCACGTTTTGAGTACATGTATCTGAGTGTGTATATGTACATATTTGTGTGTGTGTGTGTGTGTTGCTGGGGGCTGAGCCCAGGGCCTCCTACATGCTGAGCAAGTTTTGTACTTCAAAGCTGGATCTCCAGCCATCATTTTACTGGTTTTTTTTGAGATAAGGTCACAGTAAGTTGCCCTGCCTACCTTTAAATTCACTGTGTAGCAAGTTGGCCTTGAATCTTTGATCCACTTGCCTTGACCTCCTGAATAAGTAAAATACAGCCCTACGAGCCTAGCAGTATCTCTGATGGGGAAAACATGAATATCATGATGAAGATGCAAATCTGTCAAGACAGGAATATTTGTCAAGGAGAATTGCCCTGATTTGTGACTGAAACTGAAACAATTTCAAAGGATCGACTTGGTTTTGGCTCACAGTTTCAGAGGCATCAGTCTATGGTCAGCTCAGCCATTTCTAGTGCCATGCTAAAGCAGAGCATCATCCCATGGTAGAGCTGCTCACATCAGGACAGCTAGGAAGGAGAGGGAGAAGAAAGGAAGGAGGGAGGAAGAGAAAGACAGAAGACAAGGTATGTTTTTTTTTTTTCCTAGCTGTGACCCAGTGTCTGGTTATGCACCTCCTCAGGCCCCAGCTCCCAATAATACTAAGATGATATATCATGTTATGTACCCACTCAGGTCGGAGTCCTCAGGAGCAAATCACTTGTCAATGATTGGATTTACCAGATAAGGACCAAGCTGCTAACATCGCCTTTGGAGATATACTTTATATACAAGCCATAACTGTTTCTATGCAACTGTCTCTATTGTAACTATGTGTTCTCATATTGGGCAAAGTGGGGACTATAGAAGGACTGATTGAGGTTGCTTATTTCCTGGCTTGCTAATTATTCTTCTGCAAGAGGGCTTCCTTTTATGCACCAACCATCCTGTGGCAGGGGCTGAAGGCAAGTAGGCTTGACTTTGAGACGGGACTCCAGCCAACAAAAGACTTAGCCCCAGCAGGGCCACTGAGACAGACATCTATCCCTACATGGATGCCAGAGTCTGTCATGAGGTGGGTTGGGTTATGAGTGTGGTGGGAGGAAAAACAGGTATGATTCACCTGTCCTATTTCCTGCCCAAGGGCCTCTGGGCTACACCCACAACAAGCTTGTATGCTGACTCCCCAGAGCTGCTTGTAGCCACTCTTAGCATATTTCCCACACAGGCTCAGATTGACCCAAGTTCAGAGCTAGTGGAAAACATCATTGACTCCTGCTTAACAGGGTAGGAGACAAAAAGTAATCGGGATATTTTTATCTGCCCCATGTGATTAAGAATAGTCTTCATCCGCAGTGATGTTTTGTAAACAGTTTAGTCATAAGCACCTCACTAGGCATGTCTGCCAGGGCAAAATTTATGGTCTGCCTATGATCGGTTTTGCTGTGTTACTTCGGCTGAACCAAGATTTATGTGGTGTTGTCTTCATGCCAATCGCCAAACTAGGCGCTGGGCAAAATTTAGGAAGGAGACTCTGGCTATGAGTTTTTAATGGACTGCTTTCAGCTGTGTGAGGAAATTGTGTATGTGAAGAACAGCTACAGAAACAAATCAGAGAAGCAGACAAGGAGCCGGGGTCATTCATTTAGCTAGCGGAGAGTGCCTCTCTCTTACCTAAGCAATCATCCCAGTGAACCTCAAGCTGATTACTGCCTGTTCCACAATGAAATGTTGATGCTGGGTACAAGTGATCGAAGGACCCTGGACTACAGGAAGGATGAACTGTGCTGCATGCTGCGTTCTTGTACCCTCCCCCAGCCTCTAGGCCAGTGATTGCACCTTGGCTGTCCAGCACCAACACTAGGACAGCTCTTAACAATATTGTTGCCCGAATCCACTGGAGCCCAGTAAGTGACATTGTCTTGGACACTGAATGCTGGCACATTCTCATTGTTAAAGCTTCCCAGATGATTGCAATGTGTAGCCAAGGCTGGCATTTGCTAAGCTGGCTAGCAAGCTATTGGTTGCATGGTAATTGCTCAGCAAACATTCAGTAAACTGAACTTGGGAACAATTAATTTTTTCGCAGGTGCCACTCCAAAAGAAAAACAATGAGGAGCGAGCTACCCCCCTTATAATTGTTGAGCTGCAGACAGAACCATTTGTCTAGCACTGCAGCCCCTCTGCTATGAAATGGTATGTGTTTGGAGCAGAGCAGTGGCCAGTATTCATCTCTGCTGGGAAGCAGTGAGGCTGCAGTGTGGCTAAGGCTTTTTTTTCCAGCTTTGAGTCCAGCTTTGAAATCACTGCTGTTTTAAAGTTGTACTGCATTATTGCCTTTTGCAGAACAAATAGCCCCAGTTCAGATTCTCCCATTTGTCTACGATAGAAGCAGCTTCCTTTGGTACCTGGGGGAAAGTTTGGCTGTTTGGCCCTGGCAAAGGAATAAGAAAGGTTGTTCTCGGTAGATAAATGCACTCTAGGTCACTCAGTTCTTGTACTTTACATTTTTGCCAAAATATGGGTCTAGAGTTAAGGTTAAAATATAAATGAGTTAGATAAGCTGCATTATCAAAATAATTACAGTGAATAAAAAAACAGATGGATAGATAGGTGAATGACCAAGTAATAACTTAGACCCCTGTAGTTGCCCCATTGGCTCTGTAATGCCAAACTGATGCAAGGTGCAGCCTAGTATACAAGTGACAGGGTCAAAGACGCTAACACCAAGGTTCCAGGGAAAAGGCAAGAAGGCCAGACAGTGAGGGGTAGCATTGGAGTCACTGAAAGAGACCCGGAGGGGCTGAATTGTAAAGTGGTGATGGCGAAATCTAAGTTTCAGTAGAGACCCCAGGATTGAGGAAAGCTACAGGCCCTGAGTGGAACTGGTCCCACAGAAAGGCCACATGTGACACAAATGACTGACATATGGAAGCAGGTTACACAAATGTTGTAGAGCCAATGACGCCACTATGTTTGCCAGATGCTGGATGAGGAGTTAAAGGTTTGGTGTTCGCCTTGCTGAGTTTCAGCCTTGCTTTGGCACAGTTTTTCCTTCCTGTTTTTCTCTTCCTTCCTTTGGGAGTGAGAGTGTGTATGTCACTATGAATTGGAAGCTTGTAACTTAAAAAGGATTTCACAGGGGTTCACAGTGAAAAGGCTGAATTAAAACTTTGGTCTCTTGATCAATGTTGGGACTGTTAAAATTTTAGGGCTCTTAAATTGGAACTGAATGTATTTTCTTTATGAGGAACCTGTGAGACTATGAAGGCCACAGGTAGAATGTTATGGTTGGAGTGTAAAGTATCTCCCATGGGCTCATGTGTCTGAACATTTGGTTCCCAGCTAATGACCCTGCTTGAGAAGGTTACGAAACCTTTAGGACATGGTACACAACTGATAGATGTTGATATCAGTAGTGTTCCTTGGGGATTTTAGTGATGCCCAAGGACTCTTCTTCCTGATCAGTGCTATGTGAGAAGCCACCACTGCAAGTTTCCACCATGCAAATTCCCACCACTGCAGGCTCCCACCACTGCAAGCTCTCACCATATAAACTCCCTCCACTGCAAGCTCCTGCCATGCAAATTCCCACAACTGCAAGTTCCTACAAATCAACCCAATCTAGTTGCTATACGGTTCCAGGCATGGTTATCTGAATCCTCTGAAACTATAAATCAAAGTAAATACTACTCATTAAAGAGATTTGGGAGACCTGGGTGGGTGGGAATAAGAAGACAGGGAGAGGGAGAGTAACTGACTGTCTTTGTTAAGTGTGACATTCCCCGTTGCTGTTGAGAATATCATTCCCCAAATTTCTAGTCACCATCAGGATTTCCATAGATTGGGTTCCAGGTCATTGGGATTAATTAAGATCTGAGTTTACAGTAGGTAGTCCCACATTATGGATCACAGAGCCAGCTCAGGATGCCTAAAGCCTTAAATTTTTAAGACAAAATAGTCATGGTGCTAACATGTATTCCAAGAATGTCTCCTAGACCAGAATAGAAAGATCCCATGGTTCAGGAGTCAGGAAGCCAGTAGAAAGAGCTCTCCATCCCCTACCTGTGCTCTGAAATGTTCAAATCACTGGGTCAACAACAGGGAGGTCCCTTAGCTACCTATTTGCTCCTCTGGTAGTAACTTTGGTTTCTTTGTATGACATAAGCTTTCTGGTAACCACTTAGTTTATTATAGCACCTGCCATTCTCCACAGCCAATGGAGACTGTTTTCAGTGGGTGGGAGACTAAACATGTATTGAATAGGTTCGTGATGGATATAAGAATGGAGTGTTAGCGGATGACTTGGGAAAGCAGATGACACACTTGAGAATTAACTACAGCAGGAGAAGGGCATTGGGAACATAAAAATGGAAGAGCATTAGAAAGGACAGCGAACACTGTATTAAAACAACATAACAGGGCTGTGAAGGAAAAGAGAGACTTCCCTTCAGAGCTTGAGAAAGAATTTCATTAAAAGGGGCAGCTTAAAGAACGAAAGAGCTGCAGGATGGGGTGGGGGAAAAGCAGGGGTCAGGTACCAGGATGGGCCATAGTTCCAGGCTATAAAACCACAGCACAGAACTTCCTAACTCTCTGTCCCAGGAAGGAAGTGAAGAGGACATGGCTTGATTTCTCCAAGCTGTGAAATACAACCTCTTAGAGTAACCAGCATTGAAAGGGGACAGGCCTATAATATATCCATTTGAATTTGGTGTCTTAGTCTGCTTTTTCAATTCATTTTTTTTTCAGAATTTCCCATTGGACAGTGTGCCAATTCTTAAATTGTGTATACTTGGGAAACCCATCAGCTGGTCTTAGCCTAGTAAGAACTAATCTCATTGAATCTCTTGCCCTTCTTCATCTGAGAGGAGAGGAGGAAAGAAGCCAGAGGGCAAGGAAGATATTAGCAAACCATGTTTATTTCATGGCTGTGTTTAAAGCTGTTGCCACCAGATTCCACTGGAAAGGAAACAGGTTCACTGTTAGCTACAGATAACTCATGAGCAAGTTTACTAGAAAATTTTACTAGTCCCCTGGTGGTGGCACATGCCTTTAATTCCAGTATTCAGCCAGCAGAAGCAGGTGGATCTCTGTGAGTTTGAAAGCCAGCCTGGTCTACCAAGTGAGTTACAGGACAGCCAGAGATACACACAGAGAAACCCCTGTCTTGAAAAACAAAACAAAACAAAAATTTTAGAACAAGCTGAAACCTCTATTTTGATAAAGGTTTCTTTACCTGAAAACATTTACCTCCTCCACTCTTCTCTCCCCCTATGGCTCATCATACTGCAAAGTTGCTCACTCACTATTATAACCAGGCATCTTCAGCTACATGTCTTCATTTCCATGGTGCATCATTTCATGCACCATCAGGCCTTCAGGCAACATACCCAGTGCATGACCTTGCTTGTGGGAAATAGGAAGAAGAAGTGCTCTGAGTCATACTTTTCTAAGCTGTTTCTGACTACAAAATGGGGAAAATTCCTTTCCCAAGCTTCCAGGCAGAGTCTCCACACATCTTCAGCCAGAGGAAATGTGTGTCATCCTAGCAGCCAGGAGCCCTGGGGAAGGCAAGACCCTGAAGGCCGTGGAGCAAAGTCATGAACCACTTGGAACTGAGAAGATACAGGGCAAAGGATTCTTAGCCCTAAATGACCCTAAATCCCAGCTCCATTCATTCCAGGCTGGTGTTCTTGGGGAAAGTCTCTCCCCTCCCCAGCTTCACTCTTGGCCTGTAGAACAGTCTCCACCAGCTGCTCCACATCTCAGTTAAAGGTGTTAGTTTCTGCATTACCGGCATAGCTCCGCATCCACTGGTATATTTTTCTGAAACTATGGCCCTGTGAGTGACTCCACCAGCTGCTCCACATCTCAGTTAAAGGTGTTAGTTTCTGCATTACGGGCATAGTTCCGCATCCCGTAATTTTTCTGAAACTATGGCCCTGTGAGTGATTTAGACACCATTATCATGTGCACTTCTGTGATGATAAAACCACAGAGGCTAGCTATGGTCTGATACCAACTTTGCTTGCTGAGTCATTGGGAAGTCCAACTATTGTGGTGTATGTGGAAGGGCTTGGAAACTAGTGATTTAAAGATGACAACAGAGGAAATTGACAACCTCAGGATTTCAGAGTCAGACAGGACTGGCTGCGTGGCTGGTGGTGGAGAGCTTGGAAAGATGCTTCCCTGAGCTTCAGTTAATCTCCTTTGGGAGCAGACAAGATCATGGTATCTCCTTCCTGGTGTGGTAATACGAAGAAGGATCAATTCTTTTCTTGACACTCTCAGCATAGTAGCAGTATTTCATCTGCACGTATGTGGGCCATTCCTCATGACAGGAGCATGATTTTGAGGCAGGGTAAAAAGACAGGGAACATTACAGTGACATGGAAGGCAGTTTGAGGCATGCCAGGAAAGGAAAATTGCCCATTGTTTCTGGGCCTAGCTTGCCTGTCCAACTGATGGTGTCAGGAAACTGATAAAGTCAACATTATCTACTGAGGAACCCATGTTTGTCTAGAGACATCTCCAAGAGTGATTCTGAATGTGGCAAGTAAAGTGTTGTCTGTGGGCTCCCCCCTCTCTTGGCTAAGTCTAAACAATGCCCTTCATAAGTCCACTTTACAAATTTATTTATTAAAGAAGATTCTTTAACTTTTTTCTTTCTTTTTTTAATTAATTCTTATTTTACATATCAATCCAAGTTCCTTCTCCCTCCCATCCTCCCATAAACTACATTTTGGGGCTGGTGTTAAAATAAAAGAGAGGCTTCTTAGCAACCTTTACAGATGTAACTTGAAGGCCACCAAACTCCTATCTGTATCTGTTGTAAAGAAGCCTAACTGTGACTCTCCCTGGAGAAACCCATCCCACCATTGGGTGTGTCTACTATTCCTTCCCTGGTGTCTTTTTCTTTTTAACCTGCTTAGATTTACACTAAAACATCTCTCTCTAACTCTGCTGCATAATGGCTAAGCTTGCAATGCTAACCTCCTCCTCTTGACACCATGAATACTGGTTTTGACTGAGCAGAGAAAGGCCTCTAAAAAGGAAAAGTACTCTTTCAGAATATTGTGAGGGATGGGTTAAGGCTGCACCTCTCTCTGTGTCATGGCTGACAATTTTAAGGTATTGATCACAAAGTAGTTTCTTCTCAGGCATTTCCTTCCATGCCCTAGTCACTCCTTATTCCTGTTTATGTGTAAAATGCAGAACACTGATCACTACTGTTGAAAAACAAACAAACAAACATACAAACAAAACCACTGTGTACTGTGAATAACAAATGCTGAAGCCTCTCTCTGCCTTGCTGGAATGAATGAAGTTCTACTTACGCAAACACGGGGCAGAGTTCTTTCTAGCTACTCCTACTCCCTACCAGCCTCAAACCAAGGTTCCCTTGTTTGGGCTATGCTCTTCCACCCTACCTTCCACCCCCCATCTGCCTTGTGCCTTTTGTGCCTTGACTCTGAAGAGACAAGTCTCCCCACAGTCCCCTACTGCAGAGACACACACACACACACACACACACACACACACACACACCACTATGCTCATCATTGTGCCCCCAGCACTGCCTTGAGTGTCGCTTCCTGGTTCCACACTCTGAGCAGTTGAAGCCACCCATATGGTAATTGGTGGTGGGGAGCTCTGCTTTGCCCAGGCTTTCATTGTCTCCTTTTGCCACTCCATTTTTAGCTCACTTATGACTAACACGGGGATGTACACCAAGAAAAATATCAGTTGGGGCTCAGACTGTGTCTTTCAGAGTCAGCCCTCCAATGTTTCCAGCAATCCAGGAGTTTTGGTCGTATAACTGAATTCCTGTCCACTTAGGTGAATCCTTAACTAGTCCTCACAATGTGGCCTCATTCAGACACAAACTGGCTTATACTAGTTAAGAAAAAGATTACTACCTGGGTGTCATGGCATATGCCTATAACCTAGGCACTGGAAATAGCAAGTGGAGGCTACAGGATAAGGGATCAGGAGTTCAAAGCTATCCTTAACTACCTGGTGTGTTTAAAGCCAGTCTGTGTTATGGGGAGATCATATCTCAAAAACAAACAAAGGAATGAACAGACAAGAAAAAAAAAAGGAAAGAAAATAAAGGTCTCATGACTCATAACACACTGACTGTGGAACTTTGGAATTGTCTCGGATGCAAATGCACCTTCCTTCCTTCCTTCCTTCCTTCCTTCCTTCCTTCCTTCCTTCCCTCCCTCCCTCCATCCTTCCTTCCTCCTTTCCTTCCTTTTTTCCTTCCTTCCTTCCTTCCTTCCTTCCCTCCCTCCCTCCTTCCTTCCTCCTTTCCTTCCTTCCTTCCTTTCTTCCTTTATTTCTTTCTTAATAGCAGCCCTATGAGGCTTTGCAAGCTAGTGTCAAACTTCTGGCCTCTGACCTCTTCTGACCTCTTGAAGATTCTTCTGGCCTCATGCAAGCAAAATATATACACACATTTTTAAAAGATATAATTTGTATTCTTCAATGCACATTATGATTATTTGATTTAAAGATGATACAACATATGAACATACCAGAATGTCACATGGCATCCTATAACTATGTACACCTGTATGATGAAGCATTGTTCTAATTATTCTTTATCAATAAAAATTCAGAAGTCAGATATTGGGGTAAGAGCTTGAAAGATCAGAGAAGCCACCAGTCATCCCTACCTGCTCTGTCCCTTCCTCCAGACAGTGAGCCAGATCCCTTTCTGCCCACCTTACTACTTCCTGTCCTATCTATCCTCAGTCTTCCAAAACCTCTGTGTAGTTAATTTTGGTCAGCTAGTGGCTAACTCTGCCCTCTGACTCCAAGCAAGCTTTATTTATCAGAACACAATCAAAATATCACACAACAGTTTATCTTATGTGTAAATTAAACAATAAAATCTACAGACAAAAGTAAACACCATAGTAACCAGAAAGTGATACCATAATACAAATGTTGATGAATGCAATCAATAGGGACATTAGATGCTTAGGCAAACTACTTTCACAAACAAGAAACAAATGATTAAAAAGTAAATGTGCAGGCTATAAAAATAAAGGGTATTAATAAACCAGAACACTTTCTGTCCAAAATGCAGAGTTGTCATTTTTTAAAATTTTTTCCTAAAGAATGCCTTGTTTGGACACCACTGGGCAACTGGACCTGTGCTTGTTCTGTCTGTGTGTGTGTGTGTGTGTGTGTGTGTGTGTGTGTGTGTCCAAATCTTCGCTCTTTTCATGGCCACAGTTTGCCTCCCAGAGCCTGCAGCTGCAGGCTGCTGTCTGTGGTTGGGCTGGTCGGTGAGCTGGCTCTAGCTATGCTTCAGAATTTCCGTTGGCCACTAACGGCCAAGCTCCTTCAGTGTGTCCTCAGCTGCTTTGGCCCCAGACAGGCTCTGTGCTCAGCAAAGGCCTCTCGGTGATTTCTTTTTTGCTAACAGTTTTAATAGTGTGATTTTTTCCCCTTCAAAAACTAATTCCATGATGTTTGGCCGTTGGAAACATCAGACTGGCTCTGTAGAGAAGACATTTCCCCAAAGTAAATCCAGTCCGGTGAGGAGACTATAAACATGCACTACCATGTTGCTCAGCCACACAAGAGTTCTAGGAGCATAAGCGTTTTCTTTAATCCCAGGAAGATTTGAATTTATTTTAAATGCATGGCATACAAACTCAATAAATTATCAGAAACCGGTAAGAAAACAAGAGGAAAAAGCAGCACATTTGCTGAATGAAAGTATTGTCAGAGTTTTAAAAATCTATTGCTTTTGGTGTGTGTGTGTGTGTGTGTGTGTGTGTGTGTGTGTGTGTATGCGTGGGCATGTGTTTTCTTTAATCCCAGGAAGATTTGAATTTATTTTAAATGCATGGCATACAAACTCAATAAATTATCAGAAACTGGTAAGAAAACAAGAGGAAAAAGCAGCACATTTGCTGAATGAAAGTATTGTCAGAGTTTTAAAAATCTATTGCTTTTGGTGTGTGTGTGTGTGTGTGTGTGTGTGTGTGTGTGTGTGTGTGTGCGTGCGTGCGTGGGCATTTCTGTGTACAGAGACCACAGGTCAATGCAGGGTCTTCCTCTACTGCTTTCTAAACTGTTTTTTGAGACAGGGTCTTTCCCTGAATATGTGCTCTGCCCTTGGCTACACTGACTGCCCAGTAAGCTCAGAGCATGACTTGTCTCTCCCCTCCACCCCACTGCTAGCACTGGATTACAGGCACATTAAATACTCCCTGACCCCCTTTTTTATTCTTATGTGGCTGCTGGGGATCTGAACCTGGGGCCTTGTGCTTGGACAGCAAGCATTTTACCTACTGAGCCATCTCCCTAGCACTGCCAGTGATTTAAAATAAAAAATTCTATTAGCATATGTCATTTGTATGACATCATTGTGACATTTCCATCCAAGAACTGCAATCATATTCACTCGTCTTTTAACATTTTTTGCCTCCCTCCATGCCCCTATAAGCACCTCTGCCAACAAACATACATCCTTCTAGTCCCATTTATTTTTTAGAAAATTGATACTGTGTATGATAGAAATCATGTGGCGTTTGTTTCTCTGGATCTGCTTTGTTTCACTTAAGATAAGGCTCTTCAGCTCCATCTCTATTCCTGCAAATGCCATGACTTCATTCTTGTGTGCAGCTGAATAATACCCTGCTGTGTCTATATGCCACCTTCTCTCTTTTAAAAATGTTTATTACTCTTAGCAGTGGTAGTATTAATAGTATATCTGTGGTTTGTGGGGGGGGGTGTGAGTGCATACACACCCATTCATGTGTGCAAGCACACATACATGTACACCATGTGCATGCCATAGCCTGCATGTGGGGATCAGGGGACAACTTTTGGGAGTCTGTTCTCATCTTCCACCATCAGAGCATCAGACTCACACAGCAAGCCACCTCCCAAGCCCTAAGGCACATTTTCTATTCCCACTCATCCACAGATGGCGTCAGGATGACTCTGTAACCTAGTTATGTGACTAGTGCAGCAATGAACACCAGTACAATTCCACGTTTTCTAGGCCCCTTCCCACTCATTTTCAGAGCAATAGCATCATAATAGATACCCAAACTAACATCATTTTCCCCCTCATGTCAGGTGGGAACCCGTTTCCTCCATAAGGAGAGCCATTATCATAAGTCACAAGGAACTAGCTTGACCTGAACTGATGGGTGCCTCAGGACCTTAGGGACATGCTGTCAGTTGCCCTAGACCCGATGAGAACAGTGTGGGGCTGTTAATTTGCTTATAAACAGAATAAAACCATAATTTCCCTTCCCTGTTCTCAAGCATAGTGTGAGCAGCCCCACCCCACCGCCCGCTGTGCCTTAACAACTGTAGAGAACAAAGTGGAACCAAAGCCATGCTGGCCACAGAATGGTGTGATATTAGATCATGTGGGAAAATTTTTACTCTGCAAAGGGCTGCTGAGGTGCCTGCATCCTGACTCCCTGAGGAATTCTGGAGCCCACGGTAGAAGTCCTCACAGATATTAGATGATACTTTACATCAGTTTGCCTTCCTGTCACCAACTAGGACATGGAGTCCCTCACAAAGGCTGATTACCCCTCCATCAAAACATCTGCAGCAGATGTAGAGCATTGAGGGTGAAGGTGGTACGAAGACCAAATTCTGAGGGCCATCGTGATTTTTCTCATACATTCCTTCAATGGTTCTGAGAGTTGAAGTTACTTTATCACCATGTCACAGATGAGAAAACAATGCCTCAAGGACTAACTTGCCTCTTCGATGGAAATCAGAGGTGGAGAGACTTCAAATCTATTGTAGAGCAGTGGTTCTCAGCCTTCCTAATGCTTTGACCCTTTAACACAGCTCCTCGTGTTGTGCTGACCCCCCAACCATAAAATCATCTTCATTGCTACTTCATAGCTGTCATTTTGCTACTGTTATGAATCTTAGTGTAAATATCTGCTATGCAGGATATATGATGTGCAACCCCCGTGAAAGGGTCATTCAACCCCCAAAGGCATCACGATCCACAGGTTGAGAACTGCTACTCTAGCGATTACACTAGGATGACTGTTTCAAAGGGCTAGCTGACCTTGGGGTTGGGAGACACTAAATATTACAGAGTTATATTACAGAAAAGGTACTGCATTTGCTGCAATGCTTTGGTCTGCCTTCATTATAGTTCATCGTGCAGGCCTGAGGCCCCTCTGTGAGTTCAGCTGGACAAAGTAGCTGCGGTGCCCCATGGGAGTAAGCATGACTGAGCAGATCTTTATTTCTCAAGATCAGATGTCATTTGAAGAGTAAGTAACACCTCAAGCCAAAGTATGGATGGCACCCTATTAATTTATTAGGACCCACCAGATAGGAAATCGGAAGCAATCATCTTTGCTTCTAATTTCTTCTAAATGTTTATTCTTTCTCAAGGCAAAAGACATTGTACAACTTTGTGCTAATTTACTCCAAACTCAGCAGATTCTAAAGTGACTTGACATCTTTTTATAGTCCTCTGGGGAGGTAATGAAACCATTACACTCATCTAATGTTGGTCTTTGTTGTAAAGTTTTGTAAACAAGGCCCTGCTCCAAAAGAGCTATGTTCTTTTGATATTCTTCACATATTTCTTTTCCAAGGGCGTTCCAAATAGGTTGGCTACTAATATTTATGCTAATGAGATGGCCTGGAAATAGCACCATTGTGGTTCTAGGCAATATAGTCAATTTCATTGTATGTTTGAGCCCCACTTTTGCTGAAATAGTAAATCTCATAAGAGCCTTGGGTGGCAAATATATGGGGAAGTGTTTTTTTTTTAAATATAATTAACTTATTTGAATGTACCCACTAGCTATCTTAGAATTGTAATTCTAACTTAGTCTTGGGCTACCTTAAGTACACAAGTTAATTTCAAGCTGTTAGAGGGGCTTTCGTGACCTCAGAGGACTAATAAACTAAAAGAAACCACAGCCTCTCCAGTTTGAAAAAAACATGACCATGACAGTATGATTAAATCCTCCCTCTGTATCTCTGTAATTTGGTTACAAATAAGCCTGAATTTGCAATGCCTAGAATAACTACTCATACTGTACTAACAAATGATTTCATGGAATCAAATTCTTCCTTGTTTTTTCTAAAGGCACAATGGTGTTTTGTTGTTGCTTGAACAATTCATTTTGAGCTATTCAACACCTATTGAGTTCATAGATTTTATTTACATTGCCTTTGGGAGTGGACAAGTTGTTTTCTAAGACAGGGCTATGCATATGTTCAAAGTAGCAAATACAATTAGACTAAGTGCACGAGAATGTTGGTTACCTCTTACCAAAGTGCTTTGGAAGAGAATAGGGCCTTGCAGATTGTCTGTATTCTCAATTTATCCAACTGTGCCTTCCTAGTAGAATCTAATTTGCTTGTCTACCATCTGCAGTTCCTGAAGCTAACTCTGGCACCAAAATGTTAAATCTCACTAAAACTGAGTTTATGTGTTACCCACTGACAGTTACACTGTGAGACTAACCTCAATAGAGGACTGGCCACCACACAACCAGGCATTCTGAGCAGAAAGAGCGTGTGACATGAGTGAGCTGATCTGCAACCATGCAATGTGTACTGTGAGACTAACCTCAATAGAGGACTGGCCACCACACAACCAGGCATTATGAGCAGAAAGAGCATGTGACATGAGTGAGCTGATCTGCAACCATGCAATGTGGCATGAAGGTTACAGAATCCTCTAGGGACTGCTGGCAGCATTGTACTTGTTTTGAGCATATGGAGAGAGACATTCTATTACTCTTAGGTTCATGACAGTCAGACTCTCACTTCTTTAAATCCTTCAGATCAAAGGAACCCTGGGAAATTCTGTGGTTTCAGTTGGTGCATCCATCTTATTTCCTTCTCTTATGTTAGTGCTATAATAGTTAAGACTTCAAGTACTGTGTGGAATAGTCCTGAACTTAGTGGAACTGCTTTGAGATTTTCTCTGTTTTAACATAATGTTGACTATAGTTTGTTGTATATAGCTTTTGTATTGAGATATGATCCTTCTCTTCCTAATCTCTTTGGAGTTTTACCATGAAGAGATATTGAATTTTGTCCAAGACCTGTTCCATATCTACTTAGATGATGCAATGGTTTCTATGCTTGAGTCCATTCAAGTAACTTTGCCATCTTTACCGATTTTCATATGTTGAACCGTTCCCACAGTTTTGGAACAAAGCTAACTGAATCATAGTTAATGATCCTTTTGATACAGTCTTGAATTTAATTTTAATGTGCTATAGTAAGACTTTTTGTGTCTATGTTCATTGAGGATACAGTCTGTAACTTTCTTGGTTATCTGTCTGATTTTTGATATCACGGTAATACTAGCTCCATAAAAAAAGTTTGGTAATGTTTCTTCATTTCTACTTTGTGGAATGATGCTAAAGGGATCAGTGTCACATCTCTAAAGTTCTTGTAGAATTCTGCAGCAAATTCATCTGCATATGATGTTCTTAGTTAAAAGATTTTTTTACAGGCCAGGTGATGGTTCAGTCCCAGCACTCAGGAGGCAGAGGCAGGAGGATCTCTGTGAGTTCTAGACCAGCCTAGTCTACAGAATGAGTTCCAACAGGCTCAAAAGCTACACAGAGAAACCCAGTCTCGAAAAACAAAAATAAAAAGTTATTATTATTTTTCTTGAAATTTAATTGTTTGTTGTAGATCTGGGAACTGAACCTGAATTCAGTAGAGTAGCCAGTGCTCTTTACCATCTCTCTAGCCCCGCCTACCCTGTTCTTAACTAATTCCTTTCATCTACTGCTTCTGTGTTTGGTTTGATTTTGCTTTCCTAAGGCTTTAAGTTATTTATTTGTTATCTCTTCCACTTATGTTTTAATGTAGGAACTTACTGTAAACTTCTCTATAGGACAATTTCATTATTTCCCATAGACATGGCTATATTGTATTTCATTTTTCACTTAATTCTAGGAATTTTCTTGTTGATTTTGTCAACGACCCACTCATCATTCAATACTGTGTAATTTGATCTCTATGAGTTTGTGCAGTTTCTGTAGTTTCTTTGGTTGTTGTTTTATTATGATCAGATAGGATACAAGAAATTATTTCAATTTTCCTATATTTGTTAAGACTTGCTGTATGACCTGACATACAATCTATTTTAAAGAAAACTCAATGGGCTGATGTGAAGAATGTATGTTCTGTACTATGTAGTTAGAATGCTCTGTAGTTATCATTTAGGTCTTTTTGATCCATGGCATCATTTAATGCCAATGTTTCTCTGTTTATTTTTTATCATGTTGGCCTCTATTTGTGACAGTGGGATTCGAAGTCTCTCACTATTATTGTAGTGGTGTTGATCAATGGTTTTGCATCTAGTAGCATTTGTTTTATGTAAGTGGATTCATTACACATTTGCTTAGAATTATAGCAATTTGACCAACCCAGAACAAGCAGCGCACACTCTTATTCCAGCCCTATGCTCAAGCTTTTAATATTTCCAACATTGATAAATATACATCATTTTAAACATGTGTTATAAGTTCCTTATGTGTTTAACAGGATTAAATTGTAGGAGTATTTAAATTGATAACAGATATTGCCACACTGACCTGTATAGAGCACACACACATTTGACTGTTGCCATTTACAGGAAGGCCCCACATCCTCACAAAATACAGTGTTCTCAGGTGTTCTGGGTTTTGCCAATATAGCTTCACTTTTAGATTTGTCTGGTTCTCAGGTTTGTTATTTGTGTAAATGTGAGGCTGGATTCTGATTTCTTGTGTTTAAAGCCACTTGTCTAAATCCCTAGAAGGCATTTAAGCACCATGTTAATATAAGACAAATGTCTGAGTTGAGCGAAAAGGTGAGGTACTCCATGTTTAGAAACCTAAAGACTTTCAATAATTCCAAATGCCTCTTTTTCTTGGGCCCTGACAGAGTGAGCTGTGAGCTTTCTGTCCCTTAGTGATTGTTGGAGTTCTGATGTTTCCTGATATGCATGATTATGTAAATCTGCATGATGAGGTCTACCCTTAGAAAGGAACCTCTCAACAAGAAAAATATCCCTCATTGAAGGTTGTCATCGTTCTGCAACTCTCTCTCTGACACCAGATCTGAAGGGAATGATTGACCTTTGGGTTTGGGGTACTTTTGCAGTCCTTCTTTCCATTGTGCTTCTACTGTTTCCATTACCCCCCACGCACACACACACACTGATATTTTAGTTTATAGATTCCTGGCATACACGGCGGTCTAGTATTTTATAAGTGGCACAATATAATACACAACAGAGAATGGCAGCAAAATTCTGAAGGCAAGAAGAAACAAATTGACATGGTTGAAGAGGCCCCTGTACTCAAACCAGAAAACTGGCCAGGTACTTAATCTGGTCATGGGCTTGTTTGTTAATCAATGTTCAGAGAATGAATGTCTTTATCTAAAACAAAACTGTTCTAAATGTAGAGAGAAAGAATGGGCTCAATGCACATTTTTACAAATAAAGTCATGTTCATAGATATTGGGGGAGCTACTTAGTCCACTCCAGTGAACAAGCTAGAAATTGGATACAGGTTCTTTCTTATTTCAAGTCTAATGTACTTTTGGACTCCCCTATGCTCTACACTACTTAGCTGGTATTAAAGACCAAATCCTGGTTTGTGCTTGTTTGAGGTTCATATTGTTCTCTGTGCTTGTAGTTTATGCCAGGGAATAGCCTGGGCACCTGGGAGAAACCACCAAATTCTACTAAATTCTTCCATTACTTATAAAGATATATCCTGCCTAATTTCTAAGTAGTAAATCAGCTATATGATTGAAATTCATTGAATCATCAAAGCTTACAGCTAATATTTAGTGTCAACTATTTAACGAATGTTAGGCTGGTACTAATCACTTCCCATGTAGTATTTTGTTTCATCCTAGGAGAGAGTGGCTGTTGTCATCTCTCATTTACAGAAAAACGTGAGGTTCTGAGAGACCAGTGAATTTATTTCAAGTCCCAGAAGTGGTTATTGGTGTCATTGGGATTTGAACCCATGCAGTTTGACTCTTGTAGAAGATTGCAGATAGATCCATATCTATCGACACGCACAAAACTTAAGTCCAAATGGATCAAAGACCTCAACATAAATTCTGAACCTCCTAGAAGAGAAAGTAGGTGGTACCCTTGAAAGAATTGGCACAGGAGACCACCTTCTGAACACACCAGTAGCACAAACATTGAGATCAACAATTAACAAATGGGACCTCCTGAAACTGAGAAGTTTCTGTAAGGCAAAGGACACAATCAGAAAGACAAAACGACAGCCCACAGAATGGGAAAAGATCTTCACTAACCCCACATCTGACAGAGGGCTGATCACCAAAATATACAATGAACTCAAGAAGCTAGCCACTAAAACACCAAACATTGCAATTTAAAAGTGGAGTGCAGAACTAAATAGAGAATTCTCAACAGAGGAATCTGAAAGACACTTGAGAAAGTGCTCAACATTCTTATCCATCAGGGAAATGGAACTCAGAACCACTCTGAGATACCATCTTACTCCTGTCAGAATGGCTAAAATCAATAACACCAATGACAGTCTATGCTGGAGAGGATGTGGAGAAAGAGGAACACTCCTCCATAGCTGGTGGGAGTGCAAACCTGTACAACCACTTTGGAAATCAGTATGGCAGTTTTTCAGGAAAATGGCAATCAGTCTACCTCAAGATCCAGCAATTCCTCTCTTGGGCATATACCCAAAGAATGCACATTCATACACTAAGGGCCTGTGTTCAACTATGTTCATAGCAGCATTATTTGTAATAGCCAGAACCTGGAAGCAACCTATATGCCCCTCAACTGAAGAATGGATAGAGAAAATGTGATATATTTACACAATGGAGTACTACTCAGTAGGAAAAAAAAAAAAAAAACAATGGAATCTTGAAATTTGCAGGCAAATGGATTTAACTAGAAGAAACCATCCTGAGTAAGGTAACCCAGTCACAAAAAGATAAACATGAGCCTTCATCCAGTAGCTTTTCCAAGCAGAGACAGGCACCCACAGCTAAGTACTGAACCATACTCCTGGAATCTAGTTGTGGAGAGCGAAGAGGGATGAACAAAGGAGCCAAGACGGTGCTAGAGAGACCTGCAGAAACAGTTGACCTACTGAGAACATGGAGACCCTAGTCATAAAGCTGGGGAGACAGCATTGAACCAAACCAAGCCCTCTGAATGTGGGTGCCAGCTAGGAGGCCAAGGCAGTCTGCGGGACCTCTAACAGTGGAGCCAGTGTTTATCCCTAGA